AGAGAGCACCATTGCCAGAACTTCAATGACAAACGTCGCCAACTGCTGACATGCAAACTTGGAACGAATAAGCGGAACAACCAGAGATAGCATATGGCTTCTGCAAATGCTTGGATACAAATTGACCACATCCAAGGTAATCAAATGCATGCCTTCTCTGCATTGTAGCTGGTCAAGCTTCTTCAGCAATTCGTCTGTGGACAAAATCACTGTGGGAATATGCTTTTGCAACGGGGCCAATTGCTGAACAAGAAAAACAGCGAAAGGAGTGAACCAGGTCTGTCTCAAATTGCAAACTGGGCGTGAGCCTATTGGCTCTTTGTGCACTTTCACTAAAATCCGGAAAGTACCCGCCGCATCACGAAAAAACCGATGAAGCAAAAACCGCCGCAAATCAGCAGAAATCACTTGAAAACTGAAAAAGAACTCAACCAAAGCCATTGCTCCAGCTTTGCTCTCCCTCATACCAGCAAAATAGGCGTCGGAACTGCACTGTACATAGCCTTGTGCCAGCTGTCGGTGAACCTGGTTTCTGAGCCATTTTCTTGGAACAATTGCTTCTCCCAAACCCTTATCACAGTCAACCACAACAAGGTCAGCCGAATGTCTGGCAAGCCATTGTCTTGCCTTGCGATCCACCCAAGTCCAATTGTTCTGAAAAGCCTGCGGTTCAAAGTTGTCAAGACTATCCTCCAAAAGTCTCATGTACTGCTCAACGTGTTCATTCGCAGGCGGAGACCACGAACTAGGGAGTTTACATCTTGAAACTGTTTTCCGAAAGTCCTGTCGCTTGTCTTTGAAAAAGGCTTTCAAAAGCAATGAACGTCGCAAAGCGGGCAAACCAAACTTCAACTGTTGAACTGGTGTGTGTGACACTGTTGGAATGAACTTGCCGCCTTTGGAAATATGCTGAAGCACATACCCTGGGACTTGAAATTCGCTGGCAGGGGCAAGGTTGTGAACACCCTTGAACTTTGGCCGATGGAGTAAGGAAGAAAACCGTGACCTCAAAGTCTGTACAACGAGAAACTTGGAAAAATCCACAACGGTCTTCTCTTCATCGCACCAAAAACACCTGCCCCTGCTCCTCTTTGCTATTTTCCCTTTCCTTTGGACTTCGATTTGCCTTTTCCTTTGCTCTTGCCTTTGCCTCCTTTCTTTCCCTTGTCATCTGCAAACCGAACTGACTTGCTCCTGCCATTGCTTGGCGATCTGGAACTGCCTCGGCTGGAACGACGGTCTGACTTCAGGATTGAAGCTGGCCTTGGTGATTTTGACCTCTTGGAACTCTGACCATCGTGCGAACGACCACGGTGTCGAGGGGTTCCTGCACGCTTTGGCCGACCTCTGGAAGCCGGTTCTTTGGCAAAACCCTCCACATCTGGCGCTGCAATCTTGACATTGTACTTCTTGCAAAGTTCCGGGTTGTCGTGCACCAAGTAGGCTAAGGCACTGTCGCTTTTAAGTTTCACGGGCTTTTTTGCACCTCCCAACTTAGAAAGCTCAAAAAGAGCCGGGGAGAGCAAATCCTTCACTTCCATACTCTGCCATTTTTCTGAAGCTTCAAGAATAGCTTTGTCTCTTTTGGCTCTCAAATCCTTTTCCTTTTCGACACGTGACTGTGCCTTTGGGAATTCCGAACGCAGCAAACATTCAACGAAGAAAGCCGCCTTGGTCTGCAAGGTGTACTTTACTGACTGATCATCATAACCATGCTGCGCAAACCAACTCTCAAGCCTATCTGCCATCTTTTGCTTCAAAGCTGGAAGCTTGACCAAGCCATCATACATCTCCATGCATTTCTCCTGGTGCTTGCATACAAAGTCGAAACATTCTTGCGCATGTCTTCGCCTCATCGAAGACCATGCTTCTTTCAGATCATAGGCATCTGTCATGCTAGGGCTTTCGCTAGCAAAAGGTTGAGCATGAGCCATGTAAAGCTTGGTAAACTGCCATTGATGCTTGGATTCGGCTTCAAAATGTGGATGCAACACATTGTCATCCTTCAGTCTTTGGTATTTCTGCTGCATTGCCTTTTGAGTAGCCCAAGCCGAAAAAAGGTTCTTGGCTTCGACTTCAAACTCCTGGAACAGAACTCGAGTCTGAGGGTCTACCTCTTCTAGAATTTTCTTGGGTTCGACAAAAGGCTTCAAAGAAGGTAAAGAGGAAGAAGAACTACTTTGAGCAGCAGCAGCAGCAGCAGCAGCAGCTTGCTGAGTTTGTAGCAAGCTCATCAACAACCGGTTTTGCTCGACGAGCAATTCTTCCACCTTAGGTCCTCTCGCAGCACTAGTCGGAAACCCTCCAGGCAAAGCCGGGACTTCTGAAGACAAAGGACCACCCATTGCCGTCTGAACATGAGGAACTGGAGTTCTCGGAGACATTCTTTCTCTGGAAGTTGGCATGAAGGCATTCGGAGCATGAACGTTACAAGGAGCAGCAAATGATGCAGCCATTGCATTACTTGCTATGCCTAAATCAGGCATTTGTCCAGAAAGCTCATTGCTCATGGCGATAAACCTAACAAATTGCAAAGCACTGAGTTACTAGGGGTCTATCAAGCCAGCCCGGCGCCACACTTTTGGCACTACTTCGAGCTTTCGCCCTTAAAGGGCTCTTCGGGAAGGAACTTGTGCCATCAAACTGCGGCCATTGCGGTGCAAACATGTGACTTGACATCACATGAAGCACCCGTTTCACACTGCCAAGGAAAAAAATTTTTTCTTTGTTCGTTCTTGCGTTCTTTTTCTCTCTCTTTAGTTCTTTCTGTCGTTCTGTCGTTTATTGTTTTTCTTTCGTTTGCTTTCTCGTTATCTTTTGTTTATATAGTTCTTTCCTTCTTTGCTTTTTATTCTCTTCTCTTCTGTCCTTTCCTTTCCGTTCCTTTTCTTTTCTTTTCTTTGCACCTTTGCCCTTTCTTTTCCGGCGTCTGGAAAACCCGTTGCTCGTTTTGAAGACTTGACGCGTGACGTTTGGAGGAAGTACGAAATGCTCGTTCTGAAGACTTTCTTACAAGAGTGTCCCACAAAAGTGTCCTACAAGAGTGTTTGATGCACAAGCGCATTCAGGTTCGTGGGCTGCACCATGTCGTTTCTTTTTTACTGACCTTCCTTTGGTATCTAGATTTAGATGTATTTGTGGGTAATTTAGTGCCTTATGACTACGTCGCTTTCCTGGAATGGATCATGTGACCTCTGGCCACCTCCACGAAAACTAGCCCTCTACCATGTCAACTTGTTCAACACAATGGCAATTACCAAACACGGTTTGCTCTCAGGCGTTTCGTACCTTTCGTGATTGGAGAGGTGTATATGTTTAAACACGAGATGCAAACGACAACAAAAAGTGATCCAACAAGTCACATATCCATATGACTGATCTCCATACCACCATTCACAGGGTCCAACGTAATTGCATACTGTTGAATTGTATCGTTAGCAATTTGACCCCTCCCCTTTCCACCGGGTTGGAGCTTTCCACAATGTACTATGCCAAACTCTGCGGCAGGTGTGTGACTTCGGTAGCTTTCGTACAGGTTTATCGATATCTGGTTGACCTGAATCACCTCCAGACTCAAAATTGAAAAGGAACGTGATAATTCTCAAGAAGCAGAAACACATGGGCTCGATGACATTTCCCACATGCAGCAAAGTCTGTGTAATGGCAAATTGAGGGTCCGCAATGGACTTTTTTATGGTGATCTTCATCCGGTGGTCGCTCATGCCTGCCCTGCCAGTGCACAAATCGCACATTGTGTCTGTTTATTTTTCCAGCATTTAACATGGCGCCATCCAGATCTGCCTCCTTTGAAACACGATTTTGGCATTATATACATGGTATGAGCTCGTGATTCACTTTACGCTTTTTGCTGCCCGGTGCATGCCAATTTGGCTTAAAGTCAAAGATAGTCAACCAGCTCATCCGTTTGCCTTCTCTTCCCCTGAAATGGCTTGGCAAAAACCAGAAGTACGGGTGAAGAAATGCATACGTACAAAAATAGATTTTGCAACCATCAAACTCGACCAGTGAATTCGTAATTCCTTGAACTGACACGTGTTTGCAGCCGATGATAATTCGCGTTGGGGGAAACCTGGGAATAGAGCCGTTTACCTTGCAGCATGGTGTTCTACTTGCATATTTGTTACAGGGCTTTTTGTAAATCCTCCAGTACTGCCCTATGGGGAACGACTGGGAGGCGCGTCATGCAGCGGAGCCCAAGTTGTGTTGGTGCATACAAAAAGCTATTAGTTAATTTAATTCTAATAGCTTCTTGTTACTACTAGTAAGGCACTTGTTTCTAATAGCGTGGCACTTGTTACTAGTAGTTATCTGGAGGGACAATGTGAAAAAGATCCCGCAAAATGTGTCAGGAGTGTGGATACAGAATCTAAATAGGCGGCAATCGTGGACCTGAAGAAAACTAACTGAAAAGGATCGCCAACTGACCCAACTCGGTTTCACTCTACAAGCGAACAAGCGACTGGAGGCCACCAGGGCCAACAAGGCCTCGGAGAACAGGGCACAAGGCAGTGGGTCACACGACTATCCTTCGGTCGCTCTGATGCTTGTCTCTTCCTTTACGTAGTTGTCACTCGCTCATCCTGCTCCTCACACGACGTTCCAAAAAATGTCCAAGACCGAGCTCCCAGCAGATAAAAATGCTGTAGCAGTAGAGGTGAGCTGCAAAATGGTCATGGCCTGTGCCCAAACAAGCATGCTAGCTGCTAGCAAACACTTTGCATAGAGGGAAGAAACCAAGTCTATAGAATATATACAATGGCATTCTCTTGCTTTGCTTGCTCCAAACGGGAATGAAATAAGACATATGTACCCAAAGCAACCCCTTCAAGGCGCAAGAACAACAATTGCCGCACCTGCTGACCAGTGTACTAGTACCGGATGATACGTGTTTGCTTGGGCTATTTGAGCCCAAGACTTAACGATAAAACAGAAAAAGGTGTACAAGTCTAGCAAGGAAAGTAGTATCAGAATGTGTACAAGTCAGAGTGTACCAAGATGTACTAAGTTGTAAGCTGTCACACTCTCTGTGTATCGTGCGCAAGTGCAACATGTCCTTTGTCCGGACGATGCCCAAGGTCCCAGTGTCACACTGTTCCCGTCACTGCCCGATGGGTCAGACCCGGGCAAGTCTGTCTGGTCGATGCCACTCGCCGCTCGCCCTCGCCCACTGTGCTCTGCCTAAGAGCGGCCTAATAGCGATGTGATTGCCCACTATTTGTTCATCTCTTGGGAAAGTGTGGACCGTTTGGCACAGCTTCACTGCCCGCGAGAAGTGTCAAGATGCCGATGATCTTCGGTACGCAGTGATAGCTTCACAGCTTGACGTCCAGCTGAGTCCATGCGCACGAGCAAAGCATGGGTAATAAGGCATAGGTAGCTCTTTTCAAGACTTTGTTCCAAGAAATCGCAAGGCCGTGAGTGCATACTCATAAATGGAAAAGAAGGCCATTGATTGTGGAACTGTTCGCATCATCTGGGGCAGAATTCCTGCGCAAGTGCCAATCGGGCACGTCTTATAGTTGTCCAATTTGGTAGACCCATGTGTGAACAAAAAGTGTAGTGTACATACATATATATATATTATACTATATATATAGACAAGCGAAGGAATGTCCCCAAAAAGCACATTGTAGATCTGTCCTCGGTAGAAAGCTGTGACTCCATTTCGCTGCCAGAGTAGCTGTCCAGTGCGGAATATGTTGGAGTACCTTAAGGACATAAGGCAAAACATCGAGCTGAAACACACAACTTGTTTCCAAAATTGTATCCAGGGCAGAATCACGTTGCTTCAATCATGGCTTCCATCATTGCCCCAAGCCCCCTCTGCTTCAAGCCACTCGAACGTGCCCCCTGTTGGTCGTTGTTGCATCACCGATCGGATTACTTGCAGAGGATATGTGGCCTCAGTATAGGCTAACGACAGATGGATAAGGGAGCTGTATGTGTGATCCGCGTTCATTCACAAACTTGTCACACTGTCTGTAGTTGGTGGTTGTTCTAGTTGGCGGACTCCAACCTCCTACACGTGGACCCATTCTCCATAATCGACTTTTTCCAAGCGGCCACAGTTGCAAAGACTTTCGCAGAGCCAGATGCCAAAAGCACTGAATCAAACTTGTTTTTGAAGCGGTCCTGAAACAAGAAGCAAGCAATAATAAACCTTGGTGTCGGAACAAAACAAACTCTTTCTGCACAAGGCTCATAAGCCACCAGCAAAATGGCACCGTGGGAAGACAACATCAGGGATGGGACAAAGCCCCGATAGAAGCCTCTTGCGACAGGGCAAACAGTTCAAGCAAAATACACTTAAAGCAAATGGTGTGATATGTCATTCAATTCTGATGCAGTCTACACTTTGTGAGACGCAGCATTGACATATCCTGAAGTATCTCAGTGTGGCCAGTAGTTGAGCCACAGTTCAAAAAAAAACAAACGGGTAGCACCAAAAACCGATAAGTTTTCAGAAGTACTTACAACAGGTTGCTGCTCAAACGACACGGGAATAGCATTGGAAGCACCAGGCAATCTCAACCGGACCAAAGGACCAAGGTGGAAGTGCAAACGAAGGCAAGATGTGAGAGCTGGATCAAGACGATCAAGTGCTTCTCTCTGACTTCAGTCTTCAATGCACGTGCTACTCTCTTCTTTCTGCCGAGGGATAAAACACCGGCAAATCAGTGGGCTTGTACAAGGGGATCAGGAAAGCAAAAACCTGTTATCTTGATCCCCATGGTGGCTCAATCAATTTTCATTCATCACTCTATTTGGCAAATTTGGGTTGGTAGGTTCTTCAAAGGTAAAGTTCAATTCGCACCTTGCAGGCCTTCTTCACCAGCGATGGTTGTGACCTAAGCATGCAGGTGCAACCACTTGTTGGTGGGTTAAACTATTAGAAAAGAATATTCTCAAAATGGCGGATATCATTTACACATTATAGTGCTATACATGCTAAATGTGCGATGTGTCAGGCATAAAAAGAACAAACATAACGACATTTGAGACTCCAGCAGCATGGAGAATTCCACGGTAGCCTGCTTGTCCACGCTGCAGCTGCAAACCTCCAACTCATTTGAGCTAGTAGGGTCAACTAGTTAAGTTTCCCTAGACATGCCCTTTGCTCCGTTCGTAGCTTCTTGCTCCTAATAGTAAGGCCAGGAGCCCCTAGTAGCTTCTTGTTACTAGTTGAGTTTCCCCAAACATCTAGGAACCAAATCAGTAGTGCGAGCGCTTCTTCAAGGAAGCTTCCCCCGCCGCCTTTAGAAGAAGAAACGCGAGCTATCCTGCGTCCTAAGTAGTAGCTACTTAAGCTACTAGCTACCTAGCTACTACTAGCTACTAGCTACCTCACCTCTAGCGGCCTACCCCCCTTAAAAAGAAATAATATATATGTATTATATAGAGAGAGAGAGAACACCTGCTTTTTTAAAAATGTGATGCTCCTGACTCGTGTCCCGAAAGAGTTCCCTCCGTGAGACAAATAGGCCGCTTGCACATCAAAGCAGCGTGTCTTGATCAAGAAGACTGGATGAACCACCTGGAGATGACTGGGACCACACAAACATGTCTTCTTGTGTTTGTCATAGGATCATTGTATGATAATATGCATATGTATATATCTGTTTACAATAGATTATGTACATTGATTGGATTTCATCTGTCACTGATCTTCGCCAAGCTACCACATTGGTCGCCAACCCTGCTGCTAGAGAGCATGCACTATCTTTCGCAGCCAAGATTTCTTTGCTCTCCTGAGCACATCAATACTGAAAGTCCAAAAGGAGCTGCCTTTGGCCTTTCAATTCTTTTTGATGGCACTCGATTTCCCACACTTCTTCTCTCTGCCAATAGTTCTGAGCATCCTTGTATGCAATGGCTTTGAAGTGCTGGTACAGTGGCATCTGCAGGCCCCATGAAAGGGTAGAGCCAGCAACGTTTGCACAAACACCTGCAGGGCAATCATTCTTGTCGCTAATGGAGCTGAGACTTACGTGTCGTTTGGAACTAAATTGCTTTGAACTTGACAGGTTGGAGAGTCCTATCAATGTCCTGATTCGCTTTGTTTTGTCCTGTGGTAACTAGAACAAGATTGCTAGCCCATCCATCGGTTTGATCGTGATCGACCTTGTCTCGAGTCAAATGGAAATTTATGCTTTGACTCTCCTGATGGGAGTCAACCGTTCGCATGTGATTCTCCTGTTGCGCACAGCTGCATTTCAGAACTTTCCGAGTTTGCCTTCAGTTGCCGATTTCAATTGATCGATTGTTGTGTCTTCTTTTATTGCACTAGGATGTACGCACTTTCTATTTGAACCGCTACTTTGCTCACCGTTATCTGGCTATATTAAGTTTAACGGTCATTCCACTTTCCTGCTGCGCGCTTTGCGTCGTGCTTTTTCCAGTAGTCGTCTGCTTCAACCACGATGCAGCGGGTCGGAGCATGAACCTTTCTCATCAAGCTGTGTGAGCGAACAGAACGTTCAACGCCGTCAAAACCTAGAGGAGGCATGCGGCCATCACGCAAACACGTGCCAACAAAGCTGCACGATGGTGGAAGCAAGGTCTGATGAAACTGATGCACCATCATGTTGATTATGAGGGTTGTATGCTTCGACTCACTTCTTGTTACCCTCCGTTCGTGCTTGACCAACATAGTTACTATGTGCTTCAATCTATTTCACGGTACACATCACCAAGTAATTTAAATCCTTCCTGCATCTGGGAGGGCACCGGGAGTGCTGATACACATGTGATATGACTGGGGGGTGTAAGCCCCATACCTGCAAGTATGCAAGAGGCTTCAGTTTTCCGAAGATTGACTTGCGAGTTCAACTTTTCAAATCGTTGTCATTGATGTTGTCGATACTCAAAAGACAATCAACACTCTCACACATGTCATTATCGTGCTTTCCGTTGAGCGATTCATGTGAAATCGACGGTGTCGTGTGACGTGCCTGTGCAAGACCACTTACTTAGGAGGTTCGGCAGCCTTTCTGCTGTGTGTATGTGCGTGTTTAGGTATGCATGGCGCAAGTCTGGTGGTATTGGTGCTTCGCCGTCCCATACAACTTCATATATAAATATTTGAGTGAAAAATACAAATTATGTGTGTGTGTCACCCTTGGAGTCATAGGGATGCTTTTGCATTTGTTTTACTGCAGGGGGACACAGCATTTCACTGGGACTGTGTCCAATGAAGCTACCAGTGAAATGGGATATCCAGCTTGGCCAGCTGGACGTACCTGCAATTTTCCAAATTTCCGAGTGGCAAGAGGCTAAGCCAAGAACCTCGAAGATTTGATGTTTTCTTGGAACTGCAGATGCGAGCGGAACGTCGTCAGCCTGTTCGTCCGTCGTTCGTTTTCTTCCTTTTGGGCCCTACTTCCTCTTGAAGACCTCCAGGATCCCGTGGTTCGTACATGTACTCTTAGGAAATGGAACCCTAGGCCGGCGTGTGGCACCGCTTTCAGTTCAGTACACAATATCCGAAGTGTGTTTGGCCTTGTGCCAACCCGGGATGAGCCCGCAGAGTGCCTCCCGTGGACCCGTCGAACGGGTGTACGTCGTTATCTCCCCTGCCCGGAGATGTAGATGCCCAGAGCGGGCGAAGGTGGCCTAGGCCGTACGTACGATGATCTTTGTCTCATCTTTGGAATTCCAAGTTGGCTCATGCCTTTACGTGACCGCAGCGGTCAAAGCAGCCAGCCATTTCGGCAAGGCACAAGGTGACCAGAGCGGTCAAAGCCAGCTTTAGGTTCATTGGAACCTGTTGGAGCCTTAGTTTTTCAGTTGACCTTCGGCATGGAGCTTAAAATCTTGCCTCCCTCCGGGGAGGCGTGTGTGTGTCACCCTTGGAGTCATAGGGATGCTTTTGCATTTGTTTTACTGCAGGGGGACACAGCATTTCACTGGGACTGTGTCCAATGAAGCTACCAGTGAAATGGGATATCCAGCTTGGCCAGCTGGACGTACCTGCAATTTTCCAAATTTCCGAATGGCAAGAGGCTAAGCCAAGAACCTCGAAGATTTGATGTTTTCTTGGAACTGCAGATGCGACCGGAACGTCGTCAGCCTGTTCGTCCGTCGTTCGTTTTCTTCCTTTTGGGCCCTACTTCCTCTTGAAGACCTCCAGGATCCCGTGGTTCGTACATGTACTCTTAGGAAATGGAACCCTAGGCCGGCGTGTGGCACCGCTTTCAGTTCAGTACACAATATCCTAAGTGTGTGTGTTCAGTTGCCAATGCGTGGGCGCTGCTTTTCAGACGTTGACATGATGGACAATGGGCCTACAAGGTGCGAGCAACCAAACAAGACAGTACAAAAAGGATGCGGCAAGTTGAGATAGGGGCAATGTGTTGAAATGCCGTGTGACACCTGACACAAAGTCGCACTTTGAAGAATGACTCATGACATTAAATTACATTAAAGATGTACAATCTGTTACTGTTGTCCCATCCTCGAAAGAAGCCACGAGGACCTTCTGAGTGCAGAGTTGACAATACGGCTTTTCGCAGAGAACTGTACGCATGCACCGATCCCACGGTGCCATCACGAACCTGCATACCTTGGAAGAGTTTGTGGTCGCGATCCTAACTGATAGAGGCGGCAGAAGACGCCTCCACACACTGCATTGTTGGAAGCGTGTCCTTTCCACCTTCCTTGAATTTCATTGAGTTTCATGTTGCAAACCAGTTGCGGGTCTTCAAAACATCCAATGGATGCCAAAACGCAGTTTGGGCTGCACCTGCAAACGCTCCTGCCAATGAATGGACCTCATCTTTGCACTACCACGAAAGTGCTCATCCAATCCTGCTCTTAACCCACAACACCTGAACAAATGGTATGCGTTGCATTGTCTTGCTACAATTGACCAGCCAACCTTGAGGTGCAGTCATCAGGAGCAGAACACACTCCGTACCACTCCCAGACGTTTAACGTTGTCCACTGCAGGACCACTCCCTTCCACCAAGAAGCTCCAGGAGATGCGTCACCCATGGCACGATCACATGGCTACAATGTATTTCTGCGGCAAAGTGTTGTCTTTGCAACTTGGAAGTCTCAAAGGGTCTCTGCATTGTTCTCGCAAACATATCTCTATATAATTCTCTTCTCTATTTCAACTTGCATTAAAGGTAACTTCTCATCCGACAACTGTCACCAAAAGAGCAGCCATGGCTAAAGACGAGGAGCTCGGTCCAAGTACAAAACGAGCAGATTAAACGAAGTGAGCCTCTTCGATCCTCTTTGCACAAAACGAAGTGCGTTGCCTTTCCTCACAGCTCGCTTGAGTCGCTAGCAGCGTATAGTCGCAGTGCCATCTGGGCAGCAAATGCCTCATTGCGGCGATGGGCCACTTGCACGGCCTCAGTGCCGTCCAACTTGGCACGTGAAAGGGCATCTCTACTAGGAGCAAAGGACGCTACTAGGGGCTCCTGGCCTTACTACTAGGAACAAGAAGCTACCAGTGGCAAAGGGCATCTCTACTAGGAGTTCTCTCCAAGGCAGGCACTGAGAAGTTCTCTCCATCATGAAATTCAACGGTTGGCTCTGCGCCAAATTCCAACAGCTTGGCAGTGAGCAGCAAAGCCACTTCCTAGGGGCTGCGTTTCGCTTGAGTCAAGTGATAGTACGTACTCGGAGGTCCTAAGGTCTTCTAAGGTCTTCTTAGGTCTCCTGGTCGGTCCTAAGACACACACCTCGTCGTCCACGCAACACGCTGCTAAACCCAAAGGTGTCAATGACGGGCCCTCAGGCGGTTGGCTATGGAGATTCACCTGAAGCAGGCTTTACAGCCCAGGGAGACTGACTTTCTTCCTTCAAAGCCTGCATTGTTTTGTGTTCCATCTCTATAAAACTAACGCAAAGCACCACCATGCAAATACTGAAATTGAGTTTGATCCAATAGGTCATTCTTAGAGAGTGTTTGAAGCGTCTATTTTACAATCTGTGGATACAGTTTATGGCATTCTTCAGTCATGCAGGCCTCAGCCCCTTGGCGCAGCAGCATTGCCAGGCGCAGCGCATCTTTTTGAAGCACGCGCCGATGGATGGCCCCAAAGCCCTTCGAGTCCAACGCATCCTACCAAAAGCTACGTGGATTGCAAAAAGGACTGCGAGTTACAGGGGTGAGATTGCGCTATCAATTCTGTAGCTACTGGAGTTGGACCACGGCTTGTAGACGGCGCCGTGGCGTTTCGTGTGTGTGTTTTTTCCTATTTTATTTGCAGTACTTTCGAGGTTGAGGGCTGCGCGCATGCTATGCAACTTTTTTCCAAAACTGACTTGCTTTGTGGGATTTTGTAGAGGGGGAAACTGAGTGGTACCCACAGCATTCAGATTTAAAAGCACATGATGTTGTAGACATTTGTTGGCGTTCCGATTTAAGGTGTTTTAAGGCACGCTGGACGCTGGAGTCCACGGTTTGTATAAAAACATGTGATTTTGTCGAGAAACATCCGAAGAATTGACAGTGTGTGGATAGATGAAGATAGAAAACCGCCGATCAAAAAGGCTTCCTCTACAAAATGGCTGTCTCTACAGAATGGGTCTTGGAAGTTGTGTTTGCCAGTTTGAACATCTTGCTGACTTGTAAAGAGTTGCATCTCTACAGAATGCATCATGAACTGTCTGGTGTGCTGGCAGGTCAGATCTCTATCCCCCTTTGGAAGTTCCCACTTTGTCGGTGTCCCTGGCTGGCTCATTGTGACCTTGTGTCAGGCGTTCTGTAGACTAAGTTTTGACAGTAATGTGATTTTGACACCTTGAGGTCCACTTTTTTGGCTTACAACTAGGTCCACAGCTCATAGACTGCCGTGAGGCTTTGTGCTTTTCAGACGCCGCAGACGTCGTAAACCTATAGCCGATTTTTTGACCTTGAACCTGACTGGGGGCAAGGGCGCTACTAGTGGCGCTCCTGGCCTTACTACTAGAAGCAAGAGGACGCTACTAGTAACAAGGCGCATCGCTACTAGGAGCAAGGATGCTACTAGTAGCTCCTGGCATCGCTACTAGAAACAAGAATACGCTAGTGTTTCGTCACAGCATCGTCAAGTTCTTTAAGAACATGTGCGGAGAGTCTCTGAGGCGCTGACGTCGCATGCGCAACGTTTGTAAACAACCCCATCCCGCCAAACGCCACCCAAACAAGTTTCCTATGAAACATGCCTTGTCTCAGTGGTCAACCAGTTCCATTTCGTAGAGGAAACGTGCAGGGGGATAAAATTAGAAGCAGTACTTGTTTGGGTTCCTTTAAGAAGCCCCATGATTGAAGTGTGTGTCTAGTCGCTCCAGCAAAGACATGCAACATTGCAGGACAAAGTATCTCGTATGCATCGCAAGCCAAGCGCCTTGTCAGCATAAACAACCTCCGGTTTCCTGGGGAAGTTCTCCGGCAGAAAAGCTGAGTGGCTGGTCATGTCCGACCAAAGCAGGTTACGATGTTCAAAGGCCGACCTGCGAGAAAGGCGAAAGAAAAGACTTGGCTTTACTTTCGGGCCCTTGGAGAAAACCTGAACGTTCGAATCGCAGCTGGCCTGTAGGTATCAGTGCGGACCTGCAGCAAATCCTCATTGGGATTAAAAAGGCCAATGCTGAGGGCAACGACCTAGGCTACCAATGATCGTGCAGAATCAAAGGCTTGTTTTGTTTCAGAAAAACAGGTTCTTCGGGTTCTTGGTTGTCCAGAACCCCACCAGAGTCACTTGAGTGCTGTATTCGAGTCCATCCTTTTCGGTGTGTCCATTTAGTGTCGAGTCACTAAGCCTGCAGTTTTCGCATCCACATCAATGGGCAGAGCGTGCAACACATGGAAGCGACCGCCAGGGACATAGACCATGGAGCCTGCGCTCAGCACCTGAAGAAAATGCACCTTGTGCAGCTTGGCTATGAACTGCCGTGGAGAACTTAACTTGCCTATCAGTTATTGTGTATTCAAAATGCCTTTGCTCAAGATTCAAGCCTTATCCATGGTGACCTTGCTTCCAGGGTAGTGCCCAGCCACGCGCACGCGCTTGGCACCCTGGAGGACGTATATCAAAGCATCGACAGTGTCCTGGTGGATATCCAGATATCATTGATATATTGCAAACCATTTTCCATATAGATCAGAGCCTAGATGATTAGTGCTGTGCAATATGTCAGTCACTTTTCACTTTGCTGCAGCCCATCGCTAGTAGGTTGGAGGCCATTGCTAGTAGGTTGGAGGCCATCACTATTTAGGTTGGAGACCATCGCTAGTAGA